TAAGCTGTTAATCTCTTCTTGGTTTAGTTTTGGTGGTTCCCATGCCTTTAGATATCTGCCCATTTCTTATAGGTTTTCAAACTTAGTAGCATATAGATTTCAAAAGTATTGCCTTAAATGTACTGTATCTTTCTGGTGTCTGTTGTGATTCTCCCCCTTTCATCTCTGATTTTGTTGATTTGGAGGTGCTCTTTCTTTCTCTGTTTATGGGCTAGCAGTCTGTCAATCTTGTTTAACTTTTCAAAGAACCAGCTCTTGGTCTCGTTGAGTCTTTGTATTGTTTCCTTTGTTTCGTCTTTGTATTGGTTTCTTTGTTTCAATTTCATTAATTTCTGCCCTGATTTTTTGTTATTTTTTCTTGTCTGCAGGGTTTGGGTTTTGTTTGCTGTTTCGTTTGTTGTTTTTCAAGTGTCTTGAGTTGCAGTGTTAAGTCATTTATATGTGTTTTTCTGATTTTTTGATGTAGGCACTCAGAGCTGTAAACTTCCCTCTAAGGACTCCTTTCAGCATGTCCCAGAGGTTTTGTTGTGTTGTATTGTCCTTTTCATTTAGCTCCAGGAGTACTTTTATTTCTTTCTTAATTTCTCTTTTGACCCATTCATCATTCAGGAGTGTGTTGTTTAATATCCATGTGTTCGTGTGGTGATTTTGGCTTCTTCGGGTGTTGATTGTAAGCTTTATTGCATTGTGGTCTGATAGAGTGCATGGAATTATTTCAATCTTTTTGTATTTGCTGAGGTTTGTTTTGTGCCCCAGTATATGGTCGATTTTGGAGAAGGTTCCATGGGATGCTGAGTAAAAGTATGTCTTTTGGTGCTTAGGTGGAATACTTGGTAGATGTCTGTTAATTCCATTTGATATATGGTATTTTTTAATTCAAATGTCTCTCTGTTAACTCTCTGCCCTGTTGAGCTATCTAATGGAGACAGTGAGGTATTGAAGTACCTTGCTATTAATGAGTTGGGATTAATCTCGGTCTTAAAGACCTATAGTACTGTTTTTATGAAGTTGGGTGCACTAGAGTTTGGTGAATATATGTTCATGATTATCTTCTTGGTTTGTTGTTCCTTTGATCAGAATGAAATGGCCTTCTTTATCTCTTCTGATTAGTTTTAGTTTAAAGTCTATTTTATCAGATATTAGAATTGTAACACCTGCTTTTTTCTTAGTATGATTCACTTGGTGCATTTTTTCCCACCCTTTCACCTTAAGGTAGTGCCTGTCCTTGAAGATGAAATGGGTTTCTTTCAGATATCAATAAGATGGATTTTGTTTCTTAATCCATTCAACTAGCCTGCATCTTTTGACTAGGGAGTTCAGTCCATTGATATTTAAAGTTATTATTGAAAGATGTGTATTTGTTGCTATCATTTTGATTACATAGTCATTCCTTTCTTCAGCTCTTTATATTGCTTCCAGAACTCTCTGAAGAGCCGGTTTTGTGGACATGAATTCCTTCAGCCTATTCATGTCATGGAAGATTTTTCTTTCCCCTTCAACTATAATAGGTATTTTGGCAGGATATAGCAATCTGAGTTGGTGTCTGTCGTCATTTTAAAACTGGGAATACTATGGTCCAGGCTCTTCTGGCTTTCATAGTTTGCACTGAAAAGTCAGCTGTAATCCTAATGGGTTTTCCTTTATATGTGACTTGTTTCTCTTTTGTAGCTTTCAGTATTGTCTCTTTGTTTTGTACGTTTAATGTTTTTACTATATTGTGCCAAGGAGAGTTCCTTTTCTGGTCCTGTCTGTTTGGTGTTCTATATGCTTCTTGTATTTGTATAGCATGTCTTTCTTTAATTTTGGGAAATTTTCTTCCACGATTCTGTTGAAGATCTGGTCCATGCCATTATCTTTGGATTCTTCTCCTTCCTGTATGCCTATGATTCATAAATTTGGTCTTTTTATGGAGTCATGCAATTCCT